GATCGCTTACTGTGCAGGATGGACAGGATTTGCAAGCCCAGAGAGATGTTGAGGTGCAGATACGGGCGGAAACACAGGCGGGCAGTGGTCGGAAGCCGAGGATCGAGACGCGCACGCGGCGTTGTGGCAGATGCGGCGAGCCTGGCCATAATGCACGCACCTGTCAAGGAGTTGCAAAAGTGCCCGAGGAAGACCATTCCGAGTAATTTCAATCATTTTTGTCAGTGTTGGTTGAATCATGTTGAAATTTGTTGTGCAGATGTGTTTTTGTGGGACGTTCGCATGTCTGGGACGTTCGCTTATCATGTACGTTAGTGATTATTAGTAATTTGTATGGTAAACACTAACGTGTAGTTGTAATCTCGACCACGCAGCAGTGAGGGCGTCGGCAGAACTCTCACCGCCCTACTGGTCAATTCGCAGCTCAAGCTCTGACGAGGTCGACATTCTGGCCTACCTGCTACCATAATGGCTACAGAAACACTTGTGGCCGTCGCCGCCGTTCCTACGCGTACTGAAGAAGATCAAGCCTTCCTCTTCAAGCGATTTCCCGGCTATCTATTGACTGAACGCAAGGGGGCATCGTGGTCGTGGGTATGGAAATTCGGGTATGATATTTCACGAGATGGCAAAGACCGTGCATGGGTATGCCTTCGATGTATCCAACAACCAAGCTCCAACGCGAGAGCAGCGACTCGAGATCCATTGCCACCTTCTTCAATCTCAATCCGAACAACCCCGAAAATCAGAGGATGGCCAACCACTTGATCAGCGCGTTCGATAGAGCTGAATTCCAACGGAGGATTGTGAGATGGCTCATCAGCGCCAATCTTCCTCTCTGCACAGCTGAACACCCTTATCTTCGCGATGTCTTCTCCTACCTCAAACCCTCTGTCGACATTCAACAAGCCAACCTCTTCGAGAAGACTGTTCACGCCCTCGTGGTACGAGATGTTGAGCGACATAAAGATACCGTAGTCAAGACGCTCCAGGAGAACCCCGGGCTGGTTCATCTAGTCTTCGATGGATGGACTTCACGCAACCGCCTCTCTCTCTACGGCGTAAGCGCAGTTTTCCGAGACGAAGAGAGCACGCCTCACAAGATTGTATTCGGTCTACCAGATATGAGTGACCGGCATACCGGTGAGAACATCGCGGAGGCCATCCTCAATGTTATCAGAAACTATGGTATTGAAAACAAGATTGGCTACTTCACTGTCGACAACGCTACAAATAACGACGTCGCGTTTGAGAATTATTGGTGAGAAGCTCGGCTTCCGGTGGGAAGAGAGGAGAGTTCGCTGCTCCGGGCACATCATCAACCTCACGTTGACTCGCAGTTCCGGGCGACAGCAGGCACTCTAAAGAAAGGCGCAAAGGAGCCGCTCTTCTTACATGAGGAGAACAAGTTGACCGCGAACGACTGGGAGGTCATCTCCGTGTTGAAAGAGATCCTTCTCGACTTCGAGCTCGTTGTGAAAGCTCTTCAAGGCGACGGCCAACCTCATGAGAAGAAGCGCAGCTCAGGCGATGAGCCGATCAGTCTAATACAGGGAGCAAGCTGGGATCTTCGTGATGGGTACGAGTTCCTCCTTGAGTCTCTCGAGAGAGCGAAGGCGAGAGTTGAAGACCTCGTTAACGGCGAACACGTCGCTATTAATGTCAACAACGCGTGGATGAAGCCTGACAAATACTACGAGAAGATTGGCGAGTCTCCTCTCATCTACGCTGCCGCCGCGCTACACCCTAGGCACCGATGGGATAAATTCGAGGCGTGGCGTGACCATCACGCTGACTGGATCGAGCCAGCGAAGCTACAAGTCCGAGAACTCTGGAGGCAACAATACCGAGATGTACCAGTCGAGCAAAAAGAGGCTTCAGAACCACCCACAAAAATCCCCCGCCTCTCGAGCAACAGGTCCGCGATCTTCAGAAGCCAGGAGCGAAATCCAACAAACTCAGCGCCCACCTCTCCTTCACCCTTTCCATCGCCAGCACCGGTCGAACTTGACGAGTTTGAGCGTTGGCAACTAGAGAAGAACGACTCTGACCGGTACGAGGAGGATCCCCGTGCCTACTGGCACAAGAGAAGGAACAACTACCCACGGCTTGCGCGTATGGCGTTGGATCAACACACGGTGCTTCCTATGAGCGCCGAAGTTGAGCGCTTGTTCAGCGTTACTGGCCATATGGTTACTCCTTTACGCAACCGGCTACAGGCGAACACAATAGCTCTCTGTCAGATCCTCCGCAGCTGGTACGACGCCGGCGTGATTGATGATCTCGATCCAATACTGTTATGGAAGACACATGAACAATGGAAGAAGAATGATGATAGCCAGGATTAGGGTTTTGTATGGAATTTTAGTTGATTTTCCCCTTTTTTGGTCTAAACTGTTGCCCCACAGCGTGACCCACAATGGGGGCCCCACCAATTTCAACATGTTGCATCCATTTCCACGAGTGCCTTCCGTGAATTCAACGTGGCTTCGCTTACGTAAGTTGCAATTACACTGCAACGGCCTGGTGACATTGATGGGAGTGTAATTGATCTGGACCCTGTCAGACAGTAACGTTTTGAGGCGCGTCGGGCGTCGCGTCGGTTTGGTAGGAAGAAACAGAAGGTCGGGTAGGCGCGTTGAGAAGCTCCGTAGGTTGGTTGGCAAGAACACCCGAATTGACGACAGGATGGATGGTGGAGGGTGGGAAGCTTGGAAGCGCCTCCTGTGTAGCCAGATTTCAGTGTGAGAGGCACCATTAAGGTCGTCTAGCCAAAACGGGAAATTGTACATACAGATAGTGGGGAGGGTACTGCCCCCATGGAGGATTTGCCCGCTACAGATTCCGATTGGCTGTTACCGTACGATGTACTGTATCCGTACTGCTGTATCGCCCACTCCAACTGCTAAGCAGGGCAAAACCCCAGTTTGATTGACCTACCCCGCGGGGCTGACTATTCAATCCGGGTTTTCATTGGTTAACATTCAGTGGTTGAGAACTCGTCTGATCTCATCCAGGTGAGCGAAAACTAGCAGGGGCATTTAGGTGGCTACCGGGAAAGAAGCAGGAGCACTGCCAATCGGACAGTGGTCCGCCCCTGCCAGTTTTCGCTGACTTGGATGAGATAGTTGGTAAGACAGCCCGGTATTACAGGATCTGATCACCCCAGATCTCGAACCCTGCCAAGACCCACAGGGCGATCAAGCAGAGAGGGTCCGCTGGGGTCGGCTGGACTGCATGATCGGCCGGCGAAAACGCGCCGGTCAGCCGCCGTCTTGGCGCGTACCAGTTACTTGGCAACCTGAAGAATGCAAAGGGAAGAAAGGTGCGGGGGAGGGGGATCTTCTCGGTTTTCCTCTGTTCTTTCTACATCCATCCAAGCATGATGTTGTCTCCAGTTCCTGGTCGCGTCCAGCTGCGCGCATGCAAGATTCACCGCATCCAGCACCTGCTCAATTCGACGCACCGCACAGGAATCGCGGCTCGTTACCAACGCAGCCTCACCACCTCGTCTCCGTTGAGACCAACCACCTCTTCTCCCCTCAACGCATCAATGGCGCCCCCTTTCTTCCGCAGAATTTTCAGCCATGGACGCAAATCCAGATCAACCGAGTCCGAGCCCCAGCCGGAACCCGCCTCCTCACCGCGCCCCACCATGCCCGACTGCACCTCCGACGATACCAAGGTCGACAATGGCCTCCACCAGAACTCGCAGCGCGAGCGCGAAGCGACAGAAGCCAGTTCCCAAACCGCCATTTTTGATCGCGAGGCTGAGGTGGCTGAGCCGATGTTCTTTCTCAAGGCCAACTTCCCCGAGGACGACGGATTCCGCTACACATTTCCGCCGTTCCGTCGTGGCACAAGCTACACCAGAAAAGAAGGCGGGGAGGAGGTGGTGGTTACCATTCCGGAGCGCCATATTTCAATAATCCAGGCTTCTCGCTTCAGCAACTCCCAGATCCGAGTCAACGGCATCAAACAGAACGGCACCGCATGCCTCGTCGTCGCCACGTCAGAAGCTTTGAGCGAGGGCGCCGTCGACGCCGTGAAGCAGTTCCTGCTAGGATATTTCGCCCTTCTGCAGGATCTTGAGCACGACGTGGAGGGGTGTATGGGGGTGGTGTTTGTTGGGGGCAAGATCGGGATTTACGAGTACTCAAGTACGAAGGGCTTGCACTCTCCGCCGGAGCAGGTCGTGAGGGCGACGATGGAGAAGTACCATCAGATGCACGAGACGTTTGGCTTTTCACCACCACGAGACCTTCTGCCCGAGTCTCAATCCATGCCCCGATACTGGCAACCCGAGGGCGAACGCGAGCGCGAGGCGACAGAAGCCAACCCCAAGACCAAGGTCTTTGATCCCAAGATCAATGATTCTGGCACTGGGCTTGGGTTGCAATCGCCGTCCATCTATCTCATGGCCAACATGCCCGAGGACGATGGATTCGTCCATACATACCCACCGACCACTCGGGACATACGCTACACCAAAAGAGAAGGCGGGGAGGAGGTGACGGTCACCATTCCGCGGGACCGGACGTCCTTGTGTCTCGCTACGAAGACCGGTCAGTCCACGCCTGCGTGCATCGGTTTGGCCGCGGTGCTACCCGCGGAAGAAGATCTGAGCGAGAATGCCGTCGACGCCATAAAGCAGGCGCTACTGGAATATATCCTGCTACAGGATCCTGTTGTGACGTATTGTATCGCGGTGGTGTTCATTGGGGGCAGGACCGGGACTTATTGGTACGTGAGGGAGGAGGGCCTCCACCTGTCCGATTTCCCGGAGCATATCGCAGAGTCTGGGATGAAGACGGACCAGTATCTCCGACTACAGCTCGGGTTTCCTCCACGATACCTTCTGCGCGACTCCCGATCCGAGCCCCAACCCGAGCACGCCCTCTCCCCAAGGCGCGAAGCAAACAACCCCGCCTCTTCCCAATATCTGCGCGATATGCCCCTGAGGATACCGCTTGCCATTTTCCAGACTCTCTGGCCCAAAGAGAGGGGATTCGGCCACGTGGACCTGGGGTACCTGGAGCGAGACATCCACTACATCGAGCGCAACGAGGTCGGGGAGGAGGTGTCGGTGACGATCCCGTGGAAAGACACGCGGCTGTACGTGGCTGTGAACCTGAACCTCACCGTTCCACAAGCCATGTGCGTCGTCCTGTACGCGATGCCACCAGCGGTCACGAGCAGCGGTGGGCCCAACAATGCAGAGACGCCCTGGGGACGGGGCATAAGTGACGTGGCCATGGGGGCCGTGATGTACGAGCTGGAGGCGGTCATCAAGCAGTTCCTGGACGCGGGCTACAATGGAGGTCACCGGTGGGATGAGATATATGTGGACGGGTGCGTTGTGCTGTCGATCATGGGGTTGCGGATGGTGTCTGGCCATTATTATACGAAAAAGGGTTTCGTGTGGTTCCAGACCGCTCCAGTGGTCACAGAGGAACATGGGCTTGCGCAGGCCTTGGACCCTGCCCATTACAATCGAGTCTTGTGAGCGGAAGAGAATGGCCTGGATATCGGGTGTCAAAATCGATGGCGGCATGTGTTGTAGGATAATAGTAAAGTCCGAGTCACTCCTCAGCTCAAACATTTCATGATCTCTGCTCCTTGCGTGTGGGGTGACATGAACAGATTTTCTCCGGGTAAAGTGCATCTTCAATTGACTGCGTAGAGTACCGCCTTTCTTCTAACAGCCATCTGCTGGACTTCCTCGCGAAGAGTGGGCCTTCTGAATATCCCTGCGAAGCCTGTCGTGCCCCCTGCCGTCGTTCTTTTTGGTCTCCACGACTGTATGCTGACGGGCAGTGCGCTGAACCTCTTTCATGTCCGCTCGAGTCCCGCCCCTTTTGCTCATTTCGAGGAAGGTTCTGGCATAATCTATCCCCATCACATGAGCTGTGCCCGGGAAAGTCGGTAATGATTTGATGGCGACATTGAGACCGCCGAACTTGCCACCCGGCTTGAAGCTCCCAAGGTCAGACACCTTCCTGATCCTTCCATCCTCAACGTCTTGATCCCGGGCCCACATCCCTCCTTGCCAACCATTTTCCTCTTGACGATCAAGCACATCCCACATGGCCTTGAACGCGGGATTGTTCATGTACTCTTTTGCCTTGGCCCCTGCGGCGGCGGACGCCTTCGCATACTCGTCGTGTACTTTGCCATGACCCAAGCCCTTTATGCCAACCATCTTTTCTGAGTCGTACTTCCCGTCGAAAAGCGGTTTGCCGTCCTTGCCCAGAGGGTCGTTCTGGGCGTAATAGGCGAGCTCCGAAATCTTGGGGTAGTATGGGTCGGCAAAAAGCTTATCCACGGCCTCAGAGCTGATCCTCGAGGGAATCTTGGCGATGCCTGCAAAACGTCAATACAGGGGCATTGGAGGGTAACTTCGGGGGACGGAGGGGCAGCGGAAACGTCAAGACTCCGCAACGTCTCAAGTGTCAGGAATAGGTACCAGACTGGGCCAACTCTGACAATTTTGACTTACTCTGGATGAAGGCTCCGATCGTGGGTCTGCCATTTTCAAAGGCATTCTTCCCGATCGTAACGGTGCCAAAGACCTCGAATTGTTTGCTTGAGATGGTAAAGGGCACGAGTATCTCAAGCCATTTGCTCCTTATCGACGCTAGAACGGGAGAGAGTATGGTCAAGAGGCCGATGAGAAAGAAGAGGGGTCTCATAGTGTACAGGGGCGCCTAAACTGTGGCGCGGCAGTCACTTGTTGTGATGTTGTGACGCTGACTCCTTTTCTGCAGAGATTCTTCACGCTGGGATGCAGACGAAGGCG